CGTGTACTACGGAACCCCTGAAGGGAATAAATACGAGATGGGAGGGAAAATATATTTCAATGCTTTCTCTCGCAAATATCGTTGGGTAATTATACTGTATATAAATTGTGGCATCAGGGAGCCGTTATTAATATGCGGGGAATTAAAATCACTTTTGAATGTGCACTCGCTTTTTGCTTTCACTGTTGAGATTCGCGATCACACGTACGCTGTGTATACTAGAGCTGTCAAAATGGCTGAAAAACTAAATTCAAATTTTGTACTTAAATATTATCAATATTCGAATTTAAAAGGCATCATTTCAGTTAGAGGGAAAAAAGCTTTTGGCTTCTCTCCTGAGGCCACAAGAGGGCGCATCTAGCAAAATATTTAAAAATACGTTTTAAGTCAAAGTAATAAAATAACATGACTATCTTTGAAAAAAGTGAGTAATGTTTAAAATAATGTTTAATAATCTAATAATTTTGGCCACCACTGTATTTATATTTTATAATATATAATTAACTGTGAATAATAGTTATTTATAAAAAAATATATAAAAAGTTCTCTCACACACACACTCACACACTCACTCACTCACTCACAATACACTCACACACACTCTCACACACACTCACACACACTCACACTCACTCACTCACTCACTCATTCACAATACACTCTCACACACACTCTCACACACACTCACTCACTCACTCACTCACTCACACAATACACTCACGCACACTCTCACGCACACTCTCACGCACACTCTCACAATACACTCTCACACACACACACACACACACACTCACACACACACACACACGCACTCACACGCACGCACTCACTCGCACGCACTCACTCACTCACTCAATCTCTCACACACACACACACTCACTCACACGCACTCACACTCACTCACTCACTCACACTCACTCACTCACTCACTCACACGCACTCACAAACACACTCTCTCTCTCACACACTCACTCACACACACACTCTCTCTCTCACACACTCACTCACACACACTCTCACACACACACACTATACACTCACACTCACTCTCACACACACACACTCGTTAGTGCATCGTTACAGTCCGAAGCACATTCATGCTGAATTCCTGAGTTTAATAAAAGAATCAGACTCAAAACAAGCCAGTCTGTGATGATGATGTGCTGGATGTTGTTCTGCTGCAGCAGCTGCACACGCTGGAGAAGGATCTGGTGTCGGCCTGTGATCTGCTGGGGGTCGGCGCGGAATACGCCAGAGTCGTGGGATCCGAATACACCAGGTATCTCATAACTTCACATCAATTAGTTACTGTGATGTATGAATGTTTAATTTCACACAGATGTTAATGTCGTCACTCTGCTGGTCATTTTCACAGAGCTCTCTTCCTGTTGAGCAAAGGCATGGTGAGTAACATCACTCTGTGTCTTGTAAAGGAAATATAAATAAAATAGTTTTTATTACTCATTTGTGACCCTGGAGCACAAAACCAGTCATAAGGGTAAATGTTTTGAAACTGAGATTAATACATCATCTGAAAGCTGAATAAATAATCATTCCATTGATGTATGGTTTGTTAGGATAGGACAATATTTGGCTGAGATACAACTATTTGAAAATCTGGAATCTGAGGGTGCAAAAAAATCTAAATATTGAGAAAATCATCTTTAAAGTTGTTCAAATTAAGTTCTTAGCAATGCATATTACTAATCAAAAATTAAGTGTTGATATATTTACGGTAGGAGATTTACTAAATATCTTCATGAAACATGATCTTTACTTAATATCCTAATGATTTTTGGCATAAAAGAGAAATGTATAATTTTGACCCATACAATGTATTGTTGGCTATTGCTACAAATATACCCCAGCGACTTAAGACTGCTTTTGTGCTCCAGGGACACATTTTTATCACAAAAATCTCAATATTATAATCAATAATCGCAGTAAAACCACGACAGTTATTATTTTATAGGCATATTGAATTGGTTATAAACAGGGAGAATGCGTCCTATGAAACTCAAGTAGAAAGAGTTTTTTTATGGCTACTGAAAGAGGCTTGAGTTGTTTTTTCTAAAAATAAACCCAAGTATGAACGCCCACATTTTTCAAGTTTTTTCCCAAATTTTGCAGGATTTCATGCTAAAAATGTTTAATTCTTTCCAAATACAGGTCAGATATCTGTTGGAAACTCCTGTATTTTGTTCATATCACAATATATTGCAGAAAAATGTTTCAGTGTCAGGTTTTTCCAGTGTTTTGCAGCTCTAACAGTGATGACGTCACTGCAGTGTTTGCAGGCCGAGTTGTAAAACACTCATTTATTCATCTATTTCGTCCTGTATCTTGAAGAGAAAATTCTGTTGATTTGCAAAAAAGTCCACAGATGATGCTGCGTTCAAAACATCAGTACAAACTTTCTATCACAGTTTTTTTACAAAAATAATAATCTTTCAAATGATATATTTGTATCAGCTTTAATGACTTTTAATGATCAAAACAAGAAAAGCAGTAAAATGACGACAGCTTCAGAAATAGATATTCAAAACGAATCATTTAACTTAGTCTGCGAAAGAGTGGACAAATTTAAGTACTCAATTTAATGTCAAAGAACGTCACAAAATGAGCAAAATAAGCTTTTTTCCCCCACAACATGTCATTTTGGCTCATGTTTGCATTTGCTTCTGTAACCTTGAAATCAGGATTTGATGTAAAATAATGTCTTGTTGTTTTTCTGCTGATTGAGGGAGAATGCGAGGCTTTACTAACGCTTGTCCGGAGCAGAACTGTGAGGTGATAATACCGCAGTGTTGTGGGCTCGGCAGATCTTCTCTGAATCTTTGATTGGTCTGCTCTTCTGCTGTCTGTAGCTGCTGCTGATGGAGCGCAAGCTGCAGGAGGTTCATCCGCTCCTGACTCTCTGCGGACAGATCGTGGAAACCTGGCAGGGAAACCCCATCCAGAAGGAGTCGCTGCGTGTGTTCTTCCTGGTGCTGCAGGTCACGCATTACCTGGACGCCGGACAGGTGAGCGCCACACGCTTCTCCTCTGTTAGAGCTCATCCGTCTCTTATTTAACTCTTCTGTACATTGTGTTGGACTGTTTGATCTAGGGCGGGACGATATGGCAAAAAAAATAATCTCAGAACGTTGGACCGATTCTCAATTTTTTACGATGTTTATCTAGTCAACTGTAAATGTAACTACAACATGATTCAAGTAACTTTTTCTTTATTAACCCTCTACTTAAAGAAAACTCCATTCCAAGTGTGAACGTTATGTAAATGTTAAATTGTTACACTGCAAAAAATGATTTTCTTTCTTAGTATTTTTGTCTTGTTTTCTAGTATAAATATCTAAACATTTTTGAATCAAGATGATTTTATTTTAAAGGTAAAATGACTAAAAATTATCAAAATGTTGTTAGTTTTTAGTATTTTTAGCAAGAAAAATAATCTTGTTTAGCTTTGAATTAAGACCATTGGCAGATATTTTTGCTCGTTTTAAGCAAAAACTAACTACATTTAGATTATTTCCTTTAGAAAACAAGACTTAATATCTTAAGCCATTTTGCTTGTCATGTAAATGCATCTTGATTCAAGAACGTTTAGATATTAGAAGCTCATCCGTCTCTTATTTGACTCTTCTGTACATTGTGTTCTCAAAAGTCGAGGTAGTTCAAAGTCAAAACGACTGAAGGTGTAACACCAGCAGATTATTATTAACTATAAATGTTCTGTGAAAACAATGAGCAGCAGCTTTCAGTCCGTCACCGTGAAGCAAACATGAAAATATCAGACATACAGTAGCAGTTCTTCACAGGAGTTTTTATTCGATTGCACTTCTTTTCCATTGTTTTTTCTGTGTAAACATGGACGTGTTTGACTGATGCATCTCTTGCATGAAACGGCTTTCTAAAAACACTGCGCTCAAGTTAAAAAGTTCACTCCCATCTTCTTGCATGAATGGCTCCTAGCGCTGTGTTCTGTGCAGGTGAAGAGCGTGAAGCCGTGTCTGAAGCAGCTGCAGCAGTGCATCCAGACCATCTCCACGCTCCACGACGATGAGATCCTGCCCAGTAACTCGGCCGATCTCTTCCACTGGCTGCCCAAAGAGCACATGTGTGTCCTCGTCTACCTGGTGAGCGTCTGCATGTGCCACATCACGCATTCATGCTCCTTCACCAGCGCATTCAAGTGCTTGAAAAATAAAGCCTGCTTTTAGGAACATTACAATCTGTTGCATTTCCCATCATTTTAACGTGAAGAAATAATCCTGTCTGAACTACAAATCAGTATAAGGCAAGGCAAGTTTATTTATAAAGCACTTTTCATACACAACGGTAACTCAAAGTGCTTTACATGAAAAGGAATTAAAATAAGCATAAAAATAATCACAACAATAAACATTTTAAAATGGATTTAAAGTGAATTAAAACTAGAACGTTATTATTATTAATAAATGCTATTATGTTTAAATACTTAATTTATTTTTGCATGATCATTGGTTGATTTATTTTCTTTATGCAAAATATAAATTGATCATCAACAATTTTTTAGAATAGAATTACAAATTAGACCGTTGAATTGTGCAAAAATGTGTCCCTGCAGCGCAAAAGCAGTCTTAAGTCGCTGGGGTATATTTGTAGCAATAGCCAACAATACATTGTACGGGTCACAATTATACATTTTTCTTTTATGCCAAAAATCATTAGGATATTAAGTAAAGATCATGTTCCATGAAGATATTTAGTAAATTTCCTACCGTAAATATATCAAAACTTAATTTTTGATTAGTAATATGCATTGCTAAGAACTTCATTTGAACAACTTTAAAGATGATTTTCTCAATATTTAGATTTTTTTGCACCCTCAGATTCCAGATTTTCAAATAGTTGTATCTCGGCCAAATATTGTCCTATCCTAACAAACCATACATCAATGGAAAGATTATTTATTCACAGGGTGTCCGCGGGTCCTTAAAAAGTCTTAAAATGTCTTAAAT